ATTTTTTGGTTGCAGCCGTCATTGTTGTTTGGCGGGTCTGGGCTGGGGATTTGAACCCGCCACCTTAGGTGTACATGGCTGGTGCCTTAGCCGGTTGAGCTATAGGTGCCGAGCTGGTACATTTTTTCTGAGGGCTCCATAGTCAAAGGGTTAGTATGGGGGTAGTAATGATTTCGGTTACATGTTAGCTTTCATAAGGGTAAAGTTTAGGATGTAGTTGCTGGTATATTGTACATCTGCCTTTATCCTGGGTGAAGGAAGGTGTGCAATATACCTATGCAGTGTACCTATTGGGTAGGAATTTACCCAACCCCTGCCTACCTCCCTCTTACTTGAATTTATTTAAGTTTTTCTTTTTTTTTTTTTTTTAGCTCACAGCAACCTCAACCTCTTGGGCTTATGCAATTCTCTTGCCTCAGCCTCCCAAGTAGCTGGGACTACAGGTACCTGCCACAATGTCCAGCTATTTTTTGTGGTTGTAGTTGGCCGGAGCTGGATTCGAGCCCGCCAGCTCCAGTGTATGTGACTGACACGCTAGCTGCTGAGCTACAGGTGCTGAGTCTATTTAAGTTTTTCTCTCACATGAGCATGGAGTTGTTACGATGTTGACCTTAATCACCTGGCTGAGCAGTGTTTGTCAGGTTGCTCTATTGTAAAATTATTTTTTCCCCCCTTTTCATGCTATACTTTTTGGAAGGAAGTGACTATGTATAGCCAAGACTTAATAGAGTGGGGAGTTACGCTTCACCACTTTGAGGGAAGAGTATCTTCATAAATGATTTGGAATTCTTCTGTATGGGAGATCACAGGTATTTTATAGTTTGAATTATAATCCAGTACTACCTGATTGTGTTGCTCAGATCGTTTCAGTTTGACCATTGGGAGCTCTTTCAGTTGACTGTTTTCCCTGATGTAACCCCCTCCTTGTTTTGTTCTTATTTTCTTGAGTACTTCTTTACTTTCTGACTCTACAAGGTACTCCAGGTTCTTCTTGTATTCCCCATTTTTAGAATTAGCTATTTCTCTGAGGAGCTTTTCTTTTTATTGGAGAGTAGCATTAGAAACCAAGATCTGGCTTTAATGGGCACCCCCTTTCTTCTGTTCTAGTTATCATGGCTTTGGACTGCAGAGACCACGTCTACAACAGCAGCCTGTTCCAAATAGTGATGCTGTCTTGAATTGTCCTGCCTGCATGACCACACTGTGCCTTGATTGCCAAAGGTAATAGATGAAGGTTACACACACACACACACACACACACCCCACCAACAACAAAAAACTAGTTTGGTGGTCCTTTGTTTAAATCAGAAATAGACTTTTGATGTACTCAGCAACTCTGATAAGATTCTGTACTCATATTCTTGGTGCTACATGACTAATCTTTATACAAATAATTTTGGCTATACATGGTTTTATTAAATGTAGCTTTTCTAATTCAAAATGGTAGCATATAAGCAAGGTGACTTAATTCTCTCCCCAGAAAATCCAAACAAATATATAGTGCCAAGATTATCACTGTTAGTATCCCAGATCTCCAGTATAAGGAGGAGACAATTTCTTTCTTTTTTAATTTTTTTTTCTTGCTCAGGCAAAATGGCGAGCTTCTTTATTTGCAGTTGGTTTATATAGGGAATCTTGTGCATGTGCACTATACAGCAGTGACCTCATTAACATTCATTACAATCCCTCTGCCCATGCACACTGGACGTCAATGACTTCCCTCTGCACATGAGCATTGGACATCAGTGACTTCAATAATCCATTTAAACATCTTGTGACTACCCATCTTATAAGTAGCTCCTTCCTAGTAATTTGATAATTCACCCAACATATACCTTTAAGCATAACCCTTTCAACATAACCCGGTTTAGCATAACTTAATGGAGAACATGTTGTTAGTCATTACTTTCTTTGTTCTTATCTGATGAAGCCTGAGGCTATGGAGGAAAGAGACGGTTTGAAAGTCTGATCTACTGACCTTGCTATTTTGAGGCAGTTACTTTGATCTTTAAAATAAGGCATAGAGAAACTTCTAGGGCATAGAGAAATTTGTGTGCAAACCTCCGCTCCCACGTGGGCCTTAAGTCAGGGGGGTTTTATGCCTACAACCGACCAGGCTGACCTTAGGTCAGGGGGTTTTAGGCCCGCAACCAACCTGGCCATATGGGATTCTGCCTCCATTTCTCACAAGTATGCCTGTACAAAGTCTTTTCACTGCTTTCTCTCAAATAGCTTTTTTGGCCAGAGGCACAAAGGCCTTTTGCCTATATTTCTCCCTTCTTTTCCTTATTGGCATTCACATCAGACATCATTAAAGTAAAAATGGCAGTATGTCTTTTGTTCTCCTTACTAGTTTGATTTAACTTCTTACACACAATATATAAAATTAAGCTCCAACAGTACTTCCAATAAGCCCATTGATCTTAGGCATAGGATTCATTTGTTCTATTCTTTCTGCTAATCCCTTTAAGAACTCATCACTATCTACCTTTTCCAACTTATTTTGGAAAGTATAATACACTTCATTCTGTAAATATCATTAGTCAAATTCTTATGGTTAAGCAAATGTTTTCTAACTTTCTCTCAGGGAAATGCTTATTATAAAATGTTATATTTTACAGGGGTAATACAAAAAGTGGTAATATTCTAATCACATTTAAGTTTTGTCTGCCTTTTTATTTAAACTAACCAATTCATCACTTATCATAACAACTGTCTGTTCCAAATCAGAAATTTCATTAGATATTTCAGTATCTATTTGTCTTTGGGCAGTCCATAACTGTTCTGAATTTCTATGCCAATCAGTAACAAAAGCTTGTGTCCTTATATTTTGTGTCAAGGCAACTCCCGCGGTAGCGGCAGTTGCAGTAACAGCAACGATCCCCCAAATGGTAGCAATCAACAGTCCAATAAACCGGCGACTTCTCTTCAGGATTCTCTCAGTCAACAGCTGCAATATTGATAGAGCCGGGGACTCTTGCCAGGGTCTTGCCAAGTTCACTGGCAGCCACACTCCCATTTGAGCTCTCAATAAATACAGCTGTTCTTTGGATCAAAACTCATAGATTGGTTAATACAAGTAAATAATTGACAAGTAGGACAGAATAATTCTTCTGTTTCCTTGTTCCAATTTACATTTCTTTTAAGCCACACAAAAGGTAATGGTAGGCAAGCCTGAATATGTTGAGTATCTTTAACTTCAAAACTCGTAGCGTATTGATTATTCTCATCCCTCGTGAGATAGACCATCCCTCCAGGCTTTAACAGCCTGCATGGCAACAGCAACCTTCCATAAATGAACTTGCTTTGGATAATTTCCAAGAGTGGGGGAGGGAATTACTCCTACCATTACTCCAATGCATAGGGTAACCAGTGGCTATTCAAACTACATCTTTCTTTGATGAATACTTGTAATTCTCCATTGGATGTCGACTGGGACATTGAATGGACTAGGAGTACCAGACAATAGGTTCCCAATCCACAATCTCCCCATATGTGTTATTTATCAACATAAAGGGATGTTGCCCTTTACATTTCGCCCAATGAATCCAATTATGAATTACTTTAAAAGAATGCATCTGGCATGGGGGTAATTCTGGATTAGTGAGCACATTTTTAGCTTGATGTTTTTCCTATGCATATGTACTCAACATAGACATTTGAGACACCAAATGTGATGTTTGATGGATATTCATATGAGCTCACCCATGCTTGCATAGCCATATGGAGACAATGCATAGTTACCAATATAAATGGGGGGACCGGTCACTCCAGTAGTATAATTAAAAATGGTAGTGCCTTCTTCCTCTGGTTTAAAAGGTCCCCTGGTGTCGTGGGGGCCTGCAAGCCAGGCAGAATCATTAATATAAACAGGTATAGTAGGTTCCATCCAACTAACTTCTCTTCGTAAAGGGAGATTAGGGACATATGTCCAATAATGGCAAGTCTCTCCCCTTGCTGTTGTTGATAAAACAGCAATAACAGCTAAAAAGAAATTAACAGTAGTCATCTCTTGTTGGGTTTTATGTACCACACCTTCGGCAGTATTACGTAATTTCTTTCTTTTTTTTTTTTTTGAGACAGAGCCTCAAGCTATCCCCCTGGGTAGAGTGCCATGGCATCATAGCTCACAGCAACCTCCGACTCTTGGGCTCAAGCGAGTCTCCTGCCTCAGCCTCCCAAGTAGCTGGGACTACAGGCGCCCACCACAACGCCTGGCCAT